GAGGCAGAGTACATGGCTATTACAGAGGCTGTGAAGGAGGCAATTTGGCTTCAGGGATTGCTAGAGGAGCTTGGTATTGAACAAAAAAATATTACATTTTTTTGTGATAGTCAAAGTGCTATTCAATTAGCGAAGAACCAAGTTTATCATACAAGGACGAAGCACATTGATGTTCGGTATCATTTCGTACGAGAAATCATAAAAGAAGGTGGAATCACGGTGAAGAAAATTCATACTACGGAGAACCCTGCTGATATGCTGACAAAAGTGGTGACTGCGGTCAAGTTTCAACATTGTTTGGATTTGATCAACATTGTTGAACACTAAAGATTGAAGATGAAGACACAACCAAAATTTGTTACTGAGAGAAAATTGAAGATGTGAAATTTTGCCAAGGTGGAGATTTATTGAAATTGTCAAAAGTCTCACATCGGTGGATGACAATTTTGAATGGGAATTTCACCCTATAAAAGGAGGCCTAATGTTTAGGATTTATGTACACCTCTCATTTGCCTTTTTTATCTTCTTAAGGCATTTGTATCTTCTCTCTTTAGTATTATTTCACTTGTAAAATTGGAGTGGAATAAAATATTGATTGTGTCCGATGAAGTAGGCAAAATTGGCCGAACCTCATAAATTCTGGTATTCTTTTATTGTTGTCTTATTGTCTTATTTATTATTTAGTGGTTGTCATAATTTTTGGTATAGTAGTTGTGACTCATTTACACTATATACATTTGGCTTCCGCAACAGAACTGACGAGTTCAGCCTTTAAGGTTCTTAATCCTAAAGTCATCGTACTTTTGAAATTATCCATACAAAATTATCTTTGTTAGTATAATTCTTTTTTGGTATTTTCACACTTATATTTATTTTTCATATTAAAAGTATAGAGTTCAGTTGAATTTATTTAAACAAAGGCTGCATCCGCCTCTGATTGCAGGCTGAGCATCAGGGATCTGAAACACTTTTAGATGGCTGCATTGCTATTCCAACTTACTCTCCAAACCCATATTTGGACTTCAGGAGATCTATGCAAGAAATATGGAGTCATTTAACTTGAGTGATACAAGAGCCAATTGGGACTCATTGCATGAGCTTCTCATGTGTTATCTTGCCTTAAATCCAAAGAGCACACACAAATACAGAGTTTGTGCATTTGCTGACCTCCTTGTCAGCCTCATGGCTTCCAAAGCAGTACGTCGAGATTGAGAGAGAGTTTCAGGATTTAAATTTGATGAATTCAACCTTTAAATTCTTAGCACTTAACTTATAGTACTTTTGAAATTGGATTCAAATTTTAATGTGTTTGTTATAATTTTAGTGACTTTTCACATGTATATTTATGTTTCATATAAAGGTATTAGGTTTAGTTGAAATATGAGCATTATACCTTTCTTCTGCAATGATTTCATTCTGGGATTCTGCGCTTCGAAAAGTCATTTTTAATGCGTCTGTAATAGCCTGTGTACCAAAAAAGAACATGCTACGCCCGACCCCCTTTTCAGTAGATGAGATTAGGATGAAAGGGCTTTCTTTCATTAACATTCAGTGAAGGTGCATAGCTTCTTTGAATGTCCTGCTGATTGACTACTACATCTGGGGACGGGACTGATCCCAAAAGAGAGGTCTTTCTTTATGGTTATGAAATCGCTTTGATTGAATAGTTAGATCGTTCCTGCCTTTCGGATATTAAGTCTCCTTCGAAGCTTTAGACAAAGATGATATTGAGATATTGGCCCTTATGGTATCTCAGAACTGTCTACGGGATCAAGAATATGTATATTTTGTTGTCTTTCATAGTTCGAATCTGTCTCCTATCATCCTTTAGTACAGTGTCTTCTTGTTGGATTGCTTTTGGAAGTTTTGCAGATTACAGTGCCACATTGCTATACACACTTAAGTGTAAAAATTGTTGGGGCGTAGTAATGTTGCAGTAGTAGTCCAACATGTAGAAACAAGGATTAGGCGGATTTAGGTTATATATATGAAAGTAAAAAAAAAAAAAAAAATCTACACAATAATCAAGTCACTTAAACATTAATTATAAGTAGCATTTTTATGTAAGTGTTTGTTGACATTTATAAATATAGTGACTAACCTCCTAACACATGTTGAGTTATATTGGTACTCTATTTTTTTTTTTTTTTTTTTTTTTTTGCATAGTCAATGCATAAAGCTTAAATCTTAACCAGCCCGCCAATACTAAACAAAGAAAAAGAGAAAGCCTTAGGTAAAATCTGTAGCTCATGAAATAACCAACTCTCGTTTGAGCAGGTAGAAAGATGAAGCTTTGAATTCGTCATTTCATAAGAGTGACTGTAACAGAGAACTAGAAAATATAATAATCCAACGTAAATTTGTGCAAAATTCGAGTAAATTAGATGGTTTGTCAATCAAATGGCCACATTGTCGAAATACCATCCGAGTATATTGAAACTAACGGGAGCACGGGTAGTTCATCACATTAAACTACCCTCCTAAAACAAAGCTTAAGAAAGAAATTCTGTTTCACTCCAAAAATCTTTTTGAAAAGTAGCAGGTGTTAGATTGGAGCAGAAAAAATATATGTAAAAATGTTCACATATACTAATCGTTACTCTCCACTTTCTAAGTTATACTTGTAAGAAATCAATGGAAGTTGGTCATCCAGAACAAACTGTTTCTATTCGATAAGTTGGTTTCCTAATCATATTCCTTGTCCGAACATTTGATATGGTAATTATAAAACAGAGAACATGTTAGGAAAAAAGCTACACTCACCCAAATTCTCTTAAGTTTAGAAAAACTAGCACATAAACAAGCAAATTTAATTTGCGTGACTCAACCAAAACTGAAAGGATTCGGCATAAATGTCCAGAGAAACACAAAATACGGCAAACATTTCTGCATTTGGTTTAAAGGAACTGTTCCTGGCAGATCATTTCTTCTTCGCATCTCCTGCCTTCGTCTGCAAAATTAGTGCAACCAAGAAGAACATCAGCACAAGAATAAAATAAATGATACAAAACCAATAAACCCTCTCATTGTCGTAGCCGCAGAGACAAAAACAAAAACCATTACCTTCTTGACACCGCGTACTTTCTTGGCTCTATTCTTCCGCTCCTTCATCTGCTTCCTAGACTTCTCGACCTTTGTGTCTAATCCATTCTACAAGTGTTCAATAGTCAAACAAGTTAGCCGAAAGCATACAACCCAATTTAATCATTAAGCCTGCTGACTCGACCGCTGAACGTGCACTCAACATAATGGAGTATGAAACTAAAGCATTTACTTTACCTAAAGAAAAGAGTGTTATACTAAAAGAAATCGAGTCGGCCACATCACTAAAACAGCTCAATAAGATATACTCACAATAAAGCAATAGCGACAAATGCAACACAACCCCGAATCTTTTGAATGGGCAAGGATATGACTGGAGGAAGAGAATAGGTACAAAACCACATGACTTATGGTCTAAATAGCCTTTTACACAACATAGCACAAACTAACGAAGCCTTTTATACAACATAGCTCAAAGTATTGCAGCCCTACAGCAACCAATTACTTTTTTGATAGCAAAAGAGCAGAAGATAACATTATTGAGAATGTATAAGACTGTCAACTTCTGAAAAATGAAAAAACTGCACATACGGGTTTTCCTTGTTGATAAACATTTCCAACAAAAATAGCAAAAGAACCAAGGGAAGATGGCATATGCTGTAAACATTTCTCATAAATCACATTTACTTGTGTGTTATATTATAACATGTATTTTATCTGGGATTAATATTATTGAGCTGACAGATAATATGCAAAGATCCTTTACTGCAAAATTCTCTAATAGATATTTTATGCATTAAAACAAACAAGAAGCAATGAGATAAATAAATGCAAGAAATCTTGTACTTGTCTCAAATCTTAGCACAGCAACAAGATAAATTGTTTTTATAATTTTCATGATTATACTCTTTTGAAGAACAAAACCGGTACAAAGTGCAATTGAAAAGCAATATCAAGGCATTTTTCACGCTAAGGCTCCATAGGGATGTTTCACGAATGAATTTACAAAACAATTCAAAAGATTATAATAAGCCATCAGGTGATATCAGATCCTTTCCAACTATCAAACGGGTTTTAGTACCACATAACCTACTTTACTTAATGGCTTTTATGCTAACATAAATAACTAATATGATTTCTTACCCTGATCAGCCTGTACTTTGGCTCATATTTCTTTGCATTCTCTACAGAATCATAGATCAAGCCAAAACCAGTAGATTTTCCTCCTCCAAAGTGGGTCCTGAACTTAAACACAAAGATTGCATTTGGATCCTTCACCTCATATATCCTTGCTAATTTCTCTTTCAACTCGGCCTGCAATGACATATTAAACAGGTGGGACATAAGAAATTCGAATCAAAAGCATATGAAACTTGAATAAGATATACATGCTTTGCTTTCTCTCTCTCCTATATCAATCAACTACATCTCAATTGTGAACTAGTTGGATTCTAATATTCGAATCCTCTGTATCCACGAAAAGGATTCATTATTACTGGACTATTTTCAAGCTGGCCGTTAACCTGCCTCAACCTTCCTCATTTACCCTAGCTTGTAACAAGCTATGTTCTGCAATCCACACATAAGTGGAGTTCTCTCCCTCAACGACAACTAAGATAATAGCAACTAGCCTCAATTCCAGTCTTGTTGAGTCGGCCTCGGCTATATGAATCCTTACAACCAATTCCAGTACTCAATTATGAATGTTTATAGAAATAGAAATACTTGAAAAAAGGCACATATTTTGCCTTCTTTTTCTATTTCCAATATTACGACTACTGTTCACTTTTCTAACATTTTTAGTACCATTTAATTCATTCGGGACCTCTCAGTAGAATCAAGGAGAAAAGAATGGATCTTGTAGTATAAGTCGTATTAACAACTAAAATTGCTGAAATTGCAAAAGGCACTCAACAAGAATAATCAAACAACAGGAAATAAGGCGGACGCAATAGATTGTCTAACCTTGGAAACATTGGCTCTTCCCGGATGCAAGACATCGATAATCTGAAAAATTAAATATGCCAATTAAAACAGATGAAAACATACTAGTAACAGGTATGAGCTTTTAGATATGTAGTGCAGCTTGTTCTTAGTACTAACAACATAGATAATATAAGTCTTAAAAGACTTACGAATTGTTTCCTTGCAAGAAGACGATTGGTCATGAACTTCCTTGTTCTAATTGTCACTGCTTTGTCCGCCATTTTTCTGTTAAAAACAATTTACCTTAAAAATTCAGCTAAATTTTACTTGCATTTGCATTACATATACGCATTCACAATTCAGCTAAAGAAAATGAAGAGATAAAATTGAATAGAAATTATACTTGTATGCCTCTACAATATACTCCGGCGCCCCTGTTCTGACTGCTGCCTCACAGACCTTTCTCTAGTTAGCAGAAATGGAGGCTTTTGTCCTAGGGTTTTAAGTCTTTAAAAGCTCCATGATACTATTGGGCCAATCAACGACCAGCTGGCCCATTGTTAATCGAGCATCAAAGTGGGCCGTTGTGGATTACGCTGGATGGACTTTTTAAACCACCATTTATATGGGATTTTTTCCTTCCCGTATAATATTTAAAACTTATTTACTAAAATTATTCATTTTTTGTAAATTATCCGCCCTAAATAAGTTTTTATTACCATTTATATACAATCCATTATTAGTGCCTTAAATTAGGGGATTTAGTTACACCATTTTACTTTTTTTTTCCTCTCCTCCCCTCAATTTCCCTATTCTCTGCTGCCTCTCTCAACCCAAAATTCTCGTAATTGAGAGCCAAAAATCATGGGCAGTAAAGCCACGCTTCATATGAAGTTAATTCCGAACAGATTTGTGGTATCCTCCATGTCCTTTTCAAAGCTAGATAATGTATATTTCCCTAACAAAAAGTTCCTTAAAGAAGAAGGGAAAAAAATAATCATGGTCCAACCATGGCCAATTTGCTGGTTCGATGAAACACGGTAATTTGTGGTCGAATTCAACATGTCTGTAGGAAAAACCAATATAGATCATAGTTAGGTATATATATATTTCAAAACTCATTATCTCAACTTAATTAAAGTTCACCCCAATTAAATTTTGAATCGAAAAGGGATGAGAGAGAGAGCCATCGCCTAAGCTAATAACCTTCATGATTAATTCTAGTATATTAGCGATGTGTTATCTTTGGAATTCATGATTTGAAATTCATTCTCTACTTTTCTTTCGTTAATAAATCAACTGAGAAAAGAACAATATATGGTACATCAGCATACAAATTAAAAATAAATTTCATACAAATTTAATGCAAATTTGAATATCTACAACAGCATACGTAGTAAAAATAAATTTCATACAACTAATTATATATTATACAACTTATCTACAACTTTCATACATTATTTTTACCCAGTTAAATACAACTATAATATCATACAATTTAAATATAAATTTTATACAATATGTCTTTTGTATATTTTGTATCTGATTTATACCTAGTAAAAATAAATTTCATACAACTAATTATACATTATACAAGTTATTTATAACTTATCTACAACTTTCATACATTATTTATAACCAGTTAAATACAACTACAATATCATACAACTTAAATATAATTTATATACAAATTTTATACAATATGTCATTATATATTTTGTATCTGATTTGTATATATTTTGTATATGGTGTGTGCCTCTTCCTCTCTAAAATTCCAATCAAGACTTACTCTCTTAATACAATTTTGATACATATCAACAACTTTATGTAAAAAGGTAGTATAGATAACTTAAATACAAATTTTATACAACGATTCATGCATTATACAACTATTTTTCAACTTTCATAGAACATTCAAATATATATATA